CCGGCCTGGCCGACAACCTGGGGCTCCACGACCTGGCTCACCCGATGGACGAGGTGCAGGTGAGCCGAGGCGCCGCGGGACCAGCGCGCCCACAGCCTCCCCTCACCCCCACCGTCCCCAAACTCAAAGGAAACTCTGTCGTTTCTCCCCCAGAATGTCGACGATCAGCACCTGCTTCTGCACGATCAGACTGTAATTCGCAAAGGTAAATGAGAGTGCGCCCCACCTTGTGGGGTCCCCGCCGGCAGGGCCCGGGGAGATGTGCTGGCCAGCATGGGACGACCGGGGTGGAGGGGACCGGCCGCGACTCCAGGAGGCTGGGGTGTTTTCGGAGAAGCAAGGATTTCATTCCGACTTGGACGAAGAGGAGTGTTCTGACGGAAGACTTAGGAGTATTTCTCAGTCTCCGGGTCTCTGCGCGCGTTGTTACCCGTAGCTTTCTGGGGAAGAGGACTTTCTGTGCCTGTGCCCAGTGCGGTGGTACTGGGCCCCTGAAAAAAACCCCAGAGGCCTTAGCTGAGTGATCGTTCTGTGGAGCAGTTCACGATGAATGAGTCGATGGGACTTTTTTTTAAACACTCTTGGGAGGGGCTCCTTCATTCTGATCTACCAGAAAAAGCTCTGAAGTAAGTGTAACAGTCCTTAAAGGGAGCACACCTTCCAGAACTGTCGGACCCTGCATTTTTCAGGGGAGGAAAGAGATTGGGGAACCTGGATTCCTTTCGGTGAGTGGCTCATCAGATTAAGTCCCATACCCGCAGGTTTACCGCTCTTGACTGCTGGGAAGTGGAGTAGACCTGCATTCAAGCTGGTTAGGGTCTGTAACTTGAAATTGAAAGGCTTGAAATGGGTAGGGGGGAACATGGGGTGTGGAGAGCAGTTGAAGAATAGATTTGAAAATCCCAGCAAACTTTCCAGAAGAACGGGTTAGTTTGTATTTTGAACTGTACTGAGAGGTTGTTCTGAGGAGGTTTTTGCAAAAGAGCCGAATGGGACCTGGAGGCTCCCTTGCTGGTTGATTGAAGGGGGAAGAATCATCATTTATTTGTATTGAAAACAAGTGGTCTCATTAAACAGTTTATCTCAGGAGCCAGAAACTGAAAACCCTTGGCTGGGCTCTGCCTAATTAGCTTCCCAAGGTGTTAACTTGTGAATTGCAGATTTGATTTATTTTTGAGCAAAGAATGAGAAGTCTGCTGCTGTTCCCAGGTTCCCAGTGCAGCGTGCGGGCCATGCGGTGCGTCCAACAAGGGCTGCTGCAGTTTCGGCTGCCGGTTCTGGGGCGGGTGCTTGGTGCAGTGTGGGTGACCGATCGCCCGTCCTGCTGCCCCCACAGGTCCTGTCACGATGACCAAGAACCCCCTGAACCTCCCCTGCCAGAAAGACCTGGTGGGAGCCGTGATGAACCCGAGTGAGGTGTTCTGCTCCGTCCCCGGGAGACTGTCTCTGCTCAGCTCCACGTCGAAATACAAAGTGACAGTGGCTGAAGTCCAGAGGCGACTGTCACCGCCTGAGTGCCTGAACGCCTCCCTCCTGGGCGGGGTGCTCCGAAGGTACTGGGGGCACGCTCGGGCACAGGGGTTGGGGTAGGCGGAGGTGAACGTGTAAAAGAGAGCCGGGAGGTATTTTTAACATTTATGTAACTTTTATACCTAACGCTGAATTCTAATGGGCGCAGTGAGTTTGAAGGTGCATTTACTTCTTCTCTTTTAGCAAGTGCCAGATGTAGAAGGAGGTGCTAAAGCAACGCTAACAAATTATCGTTTGCTTGGGCCTGGGTTCCATGTATGAGGCAGCATCTGTACTGAGGGGAGAGGGTGTTGGGTTCTGTTCCCCCCGGGGAGCTTCTGAGGGAACTGTTGCAGTTTCACAAGTGAAAATGTATCTGCTCCGGTACAACTGGAGATGTTCTGTGTTGTTTTTCGTGGGAGGTGGTGGTGCTAGGGGAGAGTTTTGATTTTTTTTTTTTTTAACTTTTATGGGGATTACTGAAACAAGGACCCCGCATCCCTCGCTTGGGGTTGTGACTTGAACAACATAGGTAGTTATTGTTGGGTTATGGTTACGGCTTTGACAAGCAGCTCTTTGGGAATGGAGAATTGTCACAGCATGGCTTCTCTGATTATCTTTTCTCAGAGCTAAATCCAAAAATGGAGGCCGGTCGTTGCGGGAGAAACTGGACAAGATAGGGTTGAATCTGCCAGCCGGCAGACGCAAGGCTGCGCATGTGACGCTCCTGACGTCCCTCGTGGAAGGTCAGTGCCACTATTTTGTTCTGCAATGTGGTGTTTTTAATTTGTGCTTTGTGTTGTCTTTAGTACTTTTATTAAAAAAAGAAAAGAACTCTGAAGACTCCTATCAGAGTAGAAAGAGATGAAAGCAATTTGAGTTGCTTGGTTTGGTACAGTGAATCATAATTTATTAAATAAGTTATTTAAGTATCTGGCTGCTTGGGTGCTCTGTTCCGGGTTCCCAGAAAAATCTGGTAAAAAGAAGTCACTGGCCGGGCATGGTGGTGCACCCCCACTGGCATCCCAGCACTTGGGAGGCTGAGGCAGGAGGATTCCAAGGTGGGGCCCACCCCAGGCTACTTAAGTAACTTATTGAGACCCTATCTCAAAATTATAAAAGGCGGAGGGTTAGGGTTGTGGTTCATCATATAGGTTCTGGGTTCATTCCCAGTATAAAAAAAAAAAAAAGGATTTCTCCTGATTGAAACAGTTGTTTAAATGAAGCGGTGTTTGAGAGATGCTGATCATTTGGTCCGTGTTTAAGGCAGTTAGTTACTCAGTGGTGGGCAGAAGTGTTGGGTCTGGTTTTTGTAGCCATTGCAATATTGGGATTGTGGTCAGTACCCACAATGGAGCTGGCCCAATTCCCAATTCCTTCTTCCCATCAAAAGAAAAAAGTAATGGAACCCTGGTCAGCAAAAGAGCTCTTGTCCCCACCCAGTCTATGGATCGTAGTGTGTGGCACTTCAGTTTCCTGCGTGGGAAACCCTCCCCCTAGTCTGGAAAGTAGCCAGGAATGCAGTACAACCTTTAAAGAGGGGCGAGGGAGAAGTCTTTTTAATTTTTGAAAAGCAAAACCAGCAGCGCTGGGGACACCATCCAGCCCCATGCGCGTGGCTGGGTCCGGCTGGGAACAGCTCTCCTGTGGGGAACCTATGCTCACACTCACCCACCTGGGCCTGGCTGCAGTGATGAGAGGCTGCAGCGTCCCTGCCTGAGAACAGCAGGCTTGGGGAGCTCAGCAGTTGTCCGCGTGCGGCATCCACACCCATCTGCGGGGCTCCCTGGCCACTTCAGAGGAGAGCGCTCCTGAGTAACGACGTTCAGCCTGAGCCCAAGTCGCTGCGGCCAGGGGTCTCTCCAGCCCTCTGTTTTCTTGCAAGGCTCTCTAGTCTGGCTCTCCCTCTGCTCCCCCAGTAACTTGGACAAGGGGAAGGAATGTTCCAAGTCGGGGTTTTTGACATGCATACTCATTTCCAATAGGAAACGTGGTCCCCTTTTTGTTTTAGGATTGTTGGTGTGTTTGTTTGAGACAGGGCCTGGCTGTGCAGTCCAGGCTGGCCTTGAACTGGTGATGCTCCTGCCTCGGTCTCCGGAGTGCTGGGATTGCAGGTGTACACCACTGTGCCTGGCGCCCCTTCCTTTGAGAAAAGAAAAACAAAGAAACATTCTAGAGTTCTGTCTTCTTTAATATGGGGGCTCCTTTAACAAAAACAAAAGCAGCAGCAGAAGCAGCCAGCCATGGTGCACACCTGTAATCCCAGCACTTGGGAGGCAGAGGCAGGAGGATAGCCGCGAGTTTGAGGCCAGCCTGAGCTACATAATGAGTCTGAACTCCAAAGAGACTCTGTCTCAAAAAAAACAGAACAAAGGAATGCAAAGCGACTGGTAGACAGTAGTGAAGGCCAGAAAGAGGGGACAGACAGCGCTGGCAACGGCTGCGGTCATCAGACTCCACCCAACTGTGTTGCTGTCGGTGCCCACTGTAGGCGAAGCGGTCCACTTGGCCCGAGACTTCGCGTATGTCTGTGAAGCTGAGTTTCCTAGCAAACCGGTGGCCGAGTATTTAACCAGACTTCATCTTGGAGGACGGAATGAGATGGCAAACAGGAAGAATATGCTTCTGGCTGCACAGTAAGTACCCAGGTTGCTCCTGACCATGAAGTTGAGGGTTCAGCAGTCCACTGGGCTCCAAAGAAGAGGAACATTCATGAAGTTAGGTGTAGCAAGAGAGAACGGCAGGCTGCTTTCACAAGAGCCGGACACATTTCACTCCCTTACTGCGGACTGAATCCCAGGAGTGCTGAGCTACATTCTCAGCCATTTTATATAATTTTTTGAGACAGGGTCTTTCTAAGTTGCCCGGGCTGGGCTAGGACTCTAAATCCTCCTGCCTGAGCCTCCTGAGTAGCAAGACTTACTTTTTTTTTTTTTTAGAAGTCTGAAGCAAATTTAGTGACTCAAAAGCTCCTTGCTGTAGCTGTGTGTTTCTCTTCTAGCCCAGCAATAAGTTGGTTTTTAGTCATGTTCAGGAGGGAAGAGGGCCTGTGGAAAGGAGGGAATGTAGTCTCTCCGAGGTGATGATTTCCTGGGTTCCCAATTAGGGTTTTATTTGTTGGAACTAATCTGTACCAAACAAACTGTCTCTCAACCCAGAGCTCCTGGTAACCTTGGCCAGCTGATAAGGGTTAATCTGTTATCTTCTCTAATTGCAGGGGATTAAATAAGATAGTGCTTTTTAGATAGCCCTTAGCCCAGCACTTAATAGGTGCTAAGTGCTACTGTGTGGGACACAGTAGTGACGTCCCATTGGGCAGCCCTTGCTCCAGGGACAATGACTCCTGGACCTGGGGTGGTTCAGGCTGCCAGCCCTGAGGGTTCTGCAGCAGGCTGAGCCCGAGGCAGGCCCCAGGGTCATTGGTTCTCTGTCCCCCCACCCCTGGGAAGCGCTCAATTTAGCTAATGGGGACCCCCGACTTCCTTCTTCTCAGGCAAGTATGCAAGGAGTTCACGGACCTCCTCAATCAAGACCGGACCCCCAACGGGAACAACAGGCCCACCCCGGTGTTGGAGGCCAACATCCAGGGCTGCCTGTCTCACTTCAGCCTGATCACCCACGGCTTCGGCAGCCAGGCCATCTGTGCCGCCGTGTCCGCCGTGCAGAACTACATCAAGGAGGCCCTGATCATGATAGACAAGTCCTACATGAACCCCGGAGACCAGAGCCCCGCGGACTCCAACAAGACTCTGGAGAAAATGGAGAAGCACCGCAAGTGACGGTGGGGAGGCGGGAAGGGCAGGGACCGGAAGATGACCCTCCCTCCTCCGGACAGTCCGAGGGTCGCGCACCTGGGGAGGAAGAGTTTGCTACCTACCCGGCCTCTGCCCGGGCCACGGCGATTCTGATTTTCCCTCCCGGACTCCTTGATTTCTCAAGCACTGACATTGCTCACTCTGGACATTGGATCCCAGGGTGACAAGTGCTGAGCTTGGCTTTCGTTACCTGTTACGCATTTATACTTTGGAACCCCACTCACCCTGTCCCTCAGAAGTGGTGCTACAAGTTTTAAAATCAATAAACTGCCTGGGCCTCCCAAGAAACCATCCACTTGGCCATCGTCATGTCAGATTGATGTGGCATTAGCAGATCGACAGCTTATTTTTGCAGTGTTAAGATATAATGGCTGGGTTTTGCATCCGCTAAATATTTATCTTAGGAAAATGAGAACTTACCTAGGTTCCTCCGGCGGGAGGCGGAGTTCTGCGTGCTTAGCATCTGGTTATCGGGTGTTCGGCACACTTTAAACCCCAAGTTCAAAGGGGGCCTTCTGGTCTTAGAAAACTTGTAGAAACAAAGCCTGCTGATTTCATGTTTCTTTTTTAACTTTGAAAGTTAACTCTTTAAATGGGAAACTCTTGGAAATGAACCTCTTCCTGTAAGGTACTAAAGCTTTATTTGCATATTTATTTCAGATCTTGATTTTTTTTTTTTTTTTTTGAGTAAACTTGAAAAGGGTAGGCACGAAGCCTGGCAGCTGCCTGTCACCCCAAGTCCCTGAGGAGCTCTGTATTTTGAGAAACAGTGTGTTGTGTGTACAGATTTTATTTATGCATAATTTAATGGGGTCTGTAAATACTGCTGTACTTCCTATGACTTTTTGAGAAAAGGGATTCGATTTTAATATTAACTTTTAATGGTGATGGGGTAATCTATAACATCTGTAGGCTTTATTCACGTGTACACAGGGTCCTAAGAATTGAGAAGAGGGCCGGGGATTTAGCTCAGTGGTGCCGCTGCCTGTTTCACAAGTGCAAGGTCCCAGGTTCAATCCCCAGTACCAAAAGAAAAAGAAGAATTGAGAAGACGTATGCTGGGGGCCGGGGGGTTAGCTCAGTGGTTCTGCCACCTGCCTTGCAAATGCAAGGACCCGAGTTCGATCCCCGGTACCAAAGAAAACAAAAATGAGAAGATGGTGGGCTTCACTCTTGGTTTGGAAGATTCTGTTTAATGGGCACTCTCAGAAAGCAGTAACCTCCCACTTTATTGCATTGCTGGCTCGGCGTGTGTGGGGAGAGTGGTGGGGAGGCGCGGACGTGGAACTGAAATCTTCCTGTAAATGTTCCTCAGATAATTACTGTGTATGGTACTTGTATAATAAAAGTATTCTCGATAGAATCTGTGAATGTCTGATTCTAACTTGGTTTTCTTTTTTAAAGTCCTTCCACAAGTGGTATACCAGACCTGATTTCTGGCTTGAAGGGGGCTGAGGATAGTACTGGGGAAGTTGTGTGCACCCTGGAGAACCAAAATTTCATTCCTCTCCCCAGTGAGGCTCGAGTGTTCTAGGTCTCCATCATCAGGGCAGAGAACGTCCTCCTCCCCACCTGGTGAAATGGAGAAGGGGGACAGTAGGCGCCTGAGGCCGTGGTGCCAGCATTTTCTGGGTGGTGAGGATTGGACGTAAGGGCCTTGGCTATTTTCAGCACAGGCTCAGCCCCTGAGCTGCAGCCCTGGCCTGGGGACAGCGTTCTGAGAACAAAGTCCCTGAGGCCCCCGAGCTGACATTCGGCTCTCACGTGCCCGGGTGCATATTGGGGTGCACAGGAGACCATGCCAGGTAGGTGCCCCTTAGCAGGGTAGCACTGGATCCAACCAAGAAAGGGAGGTGCAGACTGTGGGCGTTGCTGTGCTTATTCTTTGGGAATAAGCTCCTGCCCAGCCGGCCGGGGCATCCTAGCCTGCCAGGCAAATCCGAAATAGGGTCTCCATGTTCCTTGCTCCTCGGGGAGTGGAGGAGTCTGCTGGGGGTAAGTCTAGATGCTTATGGCCAGAATCTGATTTCAAGTGGATCCAGCTGAAGTGACCTGGCGCATCCTCCGGGAAGAGATGCGTTTGGAGCCTGGCATGTCCAGCTGGCTTTCAAAGGGAAATAGGAGCAAAAGGATTTTCCACCTTGGAGAAGGCCTCTGCCTCCAGTCTGGTCGCATAATTCTTAATTCATAATTCACCACGTGCTCAGCAATTCTGCCTCGGTGTTGGCATTGGATGCTATTAAGTAATTTAAGCTCTGCCAACCTAATACTTTGCTCTTGGCAGCGTGTCCTTGGCCGCTGAATGTTCCCATTAAGTTGGCTTTATCTGGTTGATATGTCAGGATCACAATTGCTTCGAAGACAGGTCTTAGGCTGGCAGTTATTTCTCAATCAGGTCTTAAGACGCGAGGTGTTAACAGGAAGGCATGGGGGCAAAGGGCTGAAGGCAGGACTGTTCCTTACAGGGAGCTTGCTTGCTTTGGGACCGGAGGCTGGCTTGGAGGAGCTGTGCTGAATCGCAGTGCAGACAGCGCTCTGGAAGCTCCCCAAAGTCAACCCGGGATGGAGGTGAGTCATCACGAGGCTCCGGTGGGTGCCTGGTCCCCGCTTGCTTCACCTTTGCCCTCATTCTCCCTGGAAGTGCAGGGGCGGCCGTGGTTCCCATAATAACAGGTTCGCAGTGAGGCCAGGAAACAACCAAGCCGGCAAGGGGACCCTCCTGATGGTCGGTGAGCTGCTCTGGGCTTTCCCAATGTTCCCCGCTGTTTTATGAAAGCTGGGGGACCTGACCTTCGGCACGAGGCACTAGCAGACCCCGTGTTTCTTCTTGAGCTGTGGGGCTTGGCTTCAGGTCCCCGAAGAAGGATGTGTCTCGCTCCCACGCCCTGGCTTGCCCACAGCCCAGCTTGCTTTTTATTGATCTAGGTTTTCTTTTTTTTTGGTACTGGGGATCGAACTTGTGACCTTAAGCTTGCAAGGCAGGCAACAGAACCACTGAACTAAATTCCCGAGTCCCCTGGCTTGCTTTTTATTAAGGTGCATGCTGTTGCTGCACTGGGAGGAGAAAGAAAGTAGCTTCCTTTTGGTTTCCTGGTTGCACTGCGAGGAGCTCTGGGATTCTGTCCCACTGCCTGGGACTCTGTTCCTACAGGACTCTGAGGTGGGAGCCATCTGTGGCTGGAGACTCTGGGAATCCCAGTAGGAACCTGATGGCACCTCAGGTTTCCTGTAGCAGCTCACAGTGCTGTCTTATTTTCCGTGTGTGTATGGGTTAGGTTGTTTCTCATTTGACACAGTTCCTTAACAGCAGTATTCTCCTTTGGAGGGCTTCTAGTATCAGGGTAAACTCTGGCTATCTAGTTCAGGCTGGCCTTGAACATGTGGCGATCCTCCTGCCTCCACCTCCTGGGTGCTGGGATCACAGGCATATGCCACCAAGCCCAGCTCAGGGTAAACTCTTGAGACCTGAAGTTCCTGGATTTGCCCAGGCACAGTGGTGCATGCCTGTGATCCCAGCACTCTGGGAGACTGAGAAAGAAAGGATCACCAGTTTGAGTGCAGCCTGGGGCTGTGTCAAAATAGAAAGGGCTAGGGTTATAGCTCAGTGCAAAGGCCCTGGGTTCAATCTCCAGCACTGCAAAAGGAAGAAAGTTACCAGATTTGAATGTTAAAAGCCAAAATGAAACAAGATAAAGGGTCACAGGGTAAGAAACAGGGAGAGCTTCTCTGTCCACACCCAGGTCCTGGTTACCCTGGACACAGCAGCTGCTGAGCATCCTGAGGACCACTGAGTCTTTTTCCAGCTTTTTCCTCCCACAGGAGCCCAGGTGCAGACAGCATCGCCCTGCAGCTCTTTTGCTGCCTCTAATGTAGGGTGAGCGGGGTGGGGCTGGAGAAAATGCTGCTCTGCTGCACTCCCTTCAGTCCCGTTTGATGGGCGGCAGAGCTTTCTGCTGGGCCCGAGCTTGGGCAGTGACCCTTAGCAAAGTCTCCCCGGCCAGCTGGGCAGGTGGGCAGAAAGGGTTTTCCCCCTGGGTGGAGATAAAGGGCTGCTTTCGACACAGTGCTGCTGCTGCAATGCCTGGGAGATGTTGCTCTTGGACGACACCCACTCCACTTTTCTCAGATCTCGGTGTCCCTCGGCACCTCTCCCAGGTGACAGTCCTCCTGCGCTTCTCCGGAATCTTCAGGTCACTTCCTTGGGGACCTCAGTGACACCTGGAGCCGTCCAAACCAGACTGTTTCCTGGTTTTGCCCACGCAGGGTCCACTTTTAATAGCGAGACATAGGTACTTCGGAAGCCTTGCCTGCTGCCCACTGGCAGGCTCTGCAGAAACAGCCTTAGGACCCCAAAAAGTGACCCCATGTTTCACAGAATACTCGATTATTTTTGGCATGGCTCCGAACACAATTTCTCTGCTTCAAAAGAGAAGAACTTTTTTTTTTTTTGGTAGCGGGGATCAAACTCAGGTCCTTGTGCTTACTAGGCAGGCAGCAGAACCACTGAGCTAAATCCCTGCTCCTCTGTGCTTCAAAAGAAGGGTCACAAGGTAGGCGTGGTGGTGCACGCCTGTAATCCCAGCACTCAGGAGGCTGAGGCAGAAAAGTTGCTTCAAGTTCAAGGCCAGCCTGGGCTATGAAGCAGAACCTGCCTCAAAAAAAACAAAAATAACAACAAAAACAAAGTCACCTCCCAGACAGGTCCCTGGAATTGTGCCTTTCACCGCTACCCAGTTTTCAGCTTTTCCTCTTCCCATCCCCGGCACCAAGATGTATGTGTGTGTGTGTGTGTGTGTGTGTGTGTGTGTGTGTGTGTGTTACTGGGGATCAAACTCGGGCCCTTGCAAGACAGATGGCAGAACCACTGAGCCAAATCCCCAGCCCATTGTGATCCTTCTTGGTTTTTTGAGACAGGGTCTCACTTGTAGTTGAGATGATCTGGAACACCTGGCTGATGATTTTGTGTTTTTGTTTTTTTGAG